GACAAGGAGAATTTGTCTAACAATCAAGAGCTTTTTAAGTTAGAGATGGTTTCCTTCATTCTGGTGACCTGAACACTTTAACCCCTAAGAATGACTAATATCTAATTTCTCCTAACAACATCTCCCCTGAATCAAACATTAAGGTCCTGAGAATAAAGGAAATGATCACCAAGGAAAGAAGCTCTTGATTGTTGAACAAATTCTCCTTGTCAGAACCCTAAGAAATGTCTAGGGAGTAGTATGGAGAATATGCATACTGATGTTAGGGAGTAAAGGGTTAATGTGTGATTCAAGGGTGATATTTTAAGGTGGAATTAGATGGTATTCACTCTTGGGAGTCAAAGGGTGAATGATTTATGATTTGCATTCTGAAATGATAAAATGCCACCTGAATTCAAGAGCCAGGTGGAAATTCCCCAAACTACATCAGTTTTGGCACATGAATGGTCTGCACAGTTTAGATCACTCTGTTTCAAGGCTTCAGTTAATGGAAGGGAAGAAAGGAGAATATGAACAGCAAACAGCAGCTGGATTTGTCAGGGAAATAGCTGCAGAACCTTACCATTTTTCATGCATCCACTTTTCCACTTGTTCCCTTAATTAAGAGCCTGTCACAGCCTAATTTTAAATCATCTCAACAGAGCGATAAGACGAAGTTATTTATTGCAGATCACAATTTTTCCTTAATGTCAACACATAGTCAGTCTAGATGTAATTTTGGATAAGCTCTCCAAGAATCTACCCTCACTGAAATACCTGAGCATGCTGAGTAACCAGGCTTGTCCAAATGAACTGTCCTTTTCACACAGAGACGAGGAAGATTACCAGCGATACAGGTACGTAAACGCAAAGGGTATTTTATCAGGGAATATGATCCTTTGTCGGCTCCTAAGAGTGATACGTCCAAGTCCATAGAAACGGTTTTTTCGAGTAAAGCAATTTAGAAGTAATTTAGCTTTACCACTGAGCCTCGGAGACTCTACGGTGAGCGCGGTCTATTGCGAAGTTCTTATGACACGCGTCCTACAATTCATTATAACAAGAATCTTTTTTAATGTTTTTTTCATCAGATATTATGTCCTCTACCGCCTGCCAAAGCTAACGTTCCTTGATTCAAGACCTGTTAAACAGGATGAGAGAGATGAGGCTCAACGAGTTGGTGCTCACATGAAGATTATGGCCCCCT